ATATATATATATATATATATATATATATATATATATATATATATATATATATATATATATATATATATATATATATATATATATATATATATATATTTATATATACAGTTATATATACAATTATATTTATATTTATACAATTATATTACAGTTATATATACAATATATATTTATATATACAATTATATATATATTTATATATATCCCAAAGTTTTCGGACAGGCATAAAAAAATTAAATTTTACTAATATTTCAGCGCATACACCACTTGAGCCATCATATTATATACCAATTAAAAGGTTTTAGGTTAACAATTATGTTTTGAAGAAATAATGATTATTTAATTAAATATTAAAAAATAGTTTACAAAATAACGATAATTGATAAGTTCAAAAGTTTGTGGACAAACTAAAGTTTTAATATTTTCCCCATAAAATTGCTAACTTGTTGGTTTTATAGGTAAATACTTTGTGGAAAAAATTTTCAACTTTATTTATGAGTGATTGAGATTGTGGGATCTGAAAAATGTGTCTCATCTCCAGTGAAAAAATTGATGTTGAGATCAGTTCACAATGGAAATTAGTTTCGTAAAACAGCACAGCTCTATGGAGTCGGTAAGTTTGCTGTAAGATTATGAAAGAGATATGAGCTTACCAGATTTACAAAGAATAAAATTCAATCAGAAAAGTCACGCAAAACAACGCATTATCATGATAAAAATCTTGTGAAGCAAAGAAAATCCCCGTTTGACTGCTGTCGATATAAACGTACAAATGAGACGTTTCTATTGAATGAATTGTAGTATTTCTACTATAAAACGTCGTTTTCGTCACGCTAATTTATTTGGAAGACGCCCAGCAAAAGACTCTTTAGTTTCCTTAAAAAATCGTAATTCCCGAAAAGAATTTGCATCAGAGCATCTAAAGTGGAGTAATCAACAATGGTCAAAAGTTCTTTTTAGTGATGAAAGCAAGCTTATACTGCACGGATCAGATGGAATTAGGTATGTTCAATGTTCTGTAGGTACAAGATACAATTCAGTAGGTACAAGTACGATCCTAAACACCAACTGCCAACCGTAAAACATGGAGGAGGTATTTTAATGGATTGGGGATGTTTTAGCCCAGATGGAGTTGGTCTACTCCATAGAACTACTGAGACTATAAATCAAGAAAAGTAAAAAGATATATGTAAGACTATTATATTGTCTTATGCAAAGGAGAAAATGCCTCGAGGATGGATATAGGAACAGGATAACAATCCCAAACATGCAGCCAAATCGGTTTTAGAGTTTTTCAAAAAGAATAAAGTTAATGTTTTAAAGTGGCCATCCCAATCACGTAAATTAAATCCAATTGAACATTTATGGGAACATGTTGATTGTCAAATAAAAGGTATCAAGTCTACAAATCATGCTGATTTATTTAATAAAATCAAAGAAATTTGGAACTCAATTCCCATTGACATTTGCATTCATTTAGTTGACTCTATGTCTCATAAATGCCTAGCCATTGTTGTTTGTAAAGGATATCCTAAAAAATACAATGTGATTTTGTTTTTATATAAATTTGTGATAAAATATTGTTGAAAATTTTTTTATTATTTAAAAAAACAACAACCTTTATCCACGAATTTTTGAACTTATCAAAAATCATTGATTTGTATCCCAATTTTTAAATGTCTAATAGATAACCTTTATTTGTTCAAAACATAATTGTAAACTTGAAAACCTTTTAATTGGTGTATAATATGTTCAGTGAAGTATGTGCTGATATATTAGCAAAATTCCATAGTTTTTTGTCTGTCCGCAAACTTTTGGACGCTTTTGGAATTTTAGTTTCCACAAAGTGTACAGAGTTCAGATTGTTGTAATGATCATTCCTAATATAATTTTTCATTTGCGCAACACACGCACGTCTTGCGCAATTATTTAAAAATTTTATATAACAAACTTATCGGACGTTTTTTATGTTATTATTTTCATTGACGTTATTGTATAATTCTTTCCGTGTTTCAAGTTTTTTTTGCATATTTTTTTGTAAAGATTCATATCAAGTCCTTGTAAGTACTTATGACATGTTCTTTCAAGTTCTTGCAAGTTTAATGACAACACGGAATGCCAATGCCAATCTTACTTTTGGACAGCCAACAAGATTTAATGAATCGTTGACTTCTACTAAAGCCAATGTGTTCTGTCACTTTATGTTTTTGCGACAAGAGGAGAACGTCCATGGAGCACAAAGAAAGGCACTGGCAGTGTTGTGTCGGAAAATTTCCGAAGATTTTTGTCAAGTATGAAACAAATTTTCATTTCCGACCATAAGTCACAAAGAAATCTGTGTTAAGGTTCAGCGCCTCCTAGAAACGGCTCAACTTCTGAGCAAAACTCCTTTTAACTGAAGAGAAAGTGACATATTCCAAAAAGATAAAGAAACCTTTAATAAAATGTTTGACATTTGCTCATGCACATGCTACGATAGAGGTATTGACCGCAAAGATTGTAAATGCGACATAAAAATACGTGTTATAGAATGGGAAAATTTTATTGGACAGAAGAAGAAAACAAACCAATTAAGATTTATTGATAAAATTGTTTCAGCAAAAAAGAAAAGAGCTTATAAAAAGAAATAAAAGAGCTGTACAAGAAATGACAATCATTTCAAACTTCCAACGTTAATATCGAAACCATTTTTAAAGAAATATCTTTTGCAAGTTATAGCAGTAGCTCAGAAGAAAAATTTATTTTCAGAGATAAAATGGTTATAAAGCAAAATATATTATGTTATCCTAGACTTGCCGCAACGTGCAACAGCAGCAATAGCAATTGCAGTATTGCAAAACGTGGGTTTGTAATAAACTTGTAGTTGTAATAAAATTGTAGTAAACCAAACACTCTGGATCAAAAAAAGGTAGAACGTGAAAGATTCAAATTTGGGGAAACAAAAGTTAAAGCTCTATAAAGAAAACAAAATGGTTTTGAATTAATTGAATTGATGGAAGAATTGATAAAACCTTAACCAAGAATAATTCCGTCAGAGAAGAGCACTATTTTCCTGTTAGTTACCCGCTAGGCTGAAATATTGGGCATGTATCTCCGGGAAACGGGAAAGCTGTCAGTGTTCCTGAAGAAATTATTTCATGTGTTAATGAAAACAACAACACATAAACAATAAAAGCAATTTTATGTGATGGAACTCCTGTGAACACTGATAGAATCAGTAGAGTAGTTAAACAAATTGAGTTATTTATCGAACAACCACTACAGTGGTTAATTTGCTCGTTGTATTTGAATGAACTGTCTTTTCGACATATATTTTCTGAAACAGATAGTCCAAGTTGTGTACCAACAAATCTTTATGGTCCGATAGGAAAGCAGCTACTTGAGGATTTGACTAAAAGGATAACTGTTGATTTTCTTCCTGTTCAGGAAAACTTGGAATTGATTTCTCAGGGATTTGTAGCAAAAGTAGGTAAAGATCAAAGTTATCTTTACAAAATGTGTCATGCCATTTCTTCTAGACATGTTTTTCCATATGGAAAAACATGTCTAGAAGAAATGTTTTTCCATATGGAAATTATTACACTACCGAAAAAAAAATGTCTTTACACTACCGAAAAAAAAATGTCTTTACACTACCGAAAACAGTCAATATTTTTTCAAACAATCATACTAATATGATAGACTGGAAAAAAGAATTAGCCACACCTCCGTCTTTACTTAGCAATAAGAATCGAAACATGAAGAAGAATTATAGAACATGAAAAAGAATCTTTGCAGCTTTTAGACATTCCATGTCACAGTCAAACTGTTGAAAGACTTGTTGCCATTGTTACAAAAGCATCAGCTGACCGCATTGAACATGCTAGTCGACATCATTTCATTTTGAATTTGCTAGATTTTCGAAAAATTATGCCAACATTTGAAGGTAAATGTCAATATAATAAATAAGGAAACAGAAAAGATAATGCAATAAAAATATAATTGTGAAATTATGTTTTTATTATATTATCTTTTCTGTATTAAACTGTTATATCAAAACTTGACTATAAAACAATGCTTATGTTTTAATATAATTTTTTTTACATATATTGGTTTACATTGTGTTTATATATATATATATAATATATATATATATATATATATATATATATATATATATATATATATATATATATATATATATATAATATATGTGTTTATATATATATATGTGTTTATATATATATATGTATATCAAAAAAATTTAAAAGACAACTGAGGTTTATTAAATTAATCATAATGAAAAAATAATTTTTTTCAACAATTTTGGCAGGACGTGTGTGCAGGACGTGCGGGATCCTAAAATTTCTTTTTCTTTTGAAAATATCTAATTTAATTAAATTGGTAAAAGGTTATTTTGGGACGATTGAATAAGCGCGATTTTTATAAGTGTGAATTGGCATAGGTGCGAATGGCGTAAGTGTGAACTGGCATGAGTGCGAAGCAGTTACAAAACTGGCATAAGTACAAACTGGCATAAGTGAGCCGAATATTTTTACTAACATTGGCTTAAGTGTGAATTGGCATAAGTGCGAACCCTGCATAAGTGCGAAGCAGTTGCAAAAACTGGCTTAAGTGCGAACCGGCATAAATGCGTTTTGGCATAAGTGCGCCGAATAAATTTGCAAACATCGACATAAGTGCGAACTGGCGTAAGTGCAAAATATCAATTTGCACTTATGCCAATTTATTTGGCGCACTTATGCGCATAAGTGCACCAAAAAAAATTGGCAGAAGTACGAACTGGCATATGCCTGTTCACACTTCTGCAAATCTTCTTGTTCATTTCTTCATGGCATATGGCATATGCCAGTTCAAAAACTGGCATATGGCATATGCCAGTTTTTGTAACTGCTTTGCACTTAAGCCAGATCGCACTTATGATAATTCGCCCTTATTCAGCCTCCCGGTTATTTTTTGACACGCAGGATAAATAATCCGGCTAATATTAAAATATTAGCCGGATTTAAAACCGAACCGAAAATTGTTCAAGATGCTGTGAAAAACAGTGAACTCACATGGATCAAGATTCTTCCTTTAAGCTCTCTTGCATTGTTGCAGATTCCGCAGCTTTTATAAGAAATGTTGATCTTCAAAGTCTTGGTAAAAGAATATTTACTATAGGTGAAGTTATAGACGAGATTAGAGACTGTGCTACAAAGCAAAGACTTTCAGTTCTTCCTTACGAAATCGAATTTCGCGAACCTTCATCAGAATGTCTTAAATTTGGTAATTATTATTCGTTAAAAAATTTTTTCTACGTTATTTCTATTCTTCGTTTAAAAAAATTGAAAGACTTAAAAAAATTTGTTACATAATTGCAAAAGTTCTTACCAAATTTGGCGATTTAGTGTGATTAACTGTCTCACACTGTTGGCCACAGTAAGTTATTTTTGTACTATGATAAGCATGCAGTGAATCACCAGCCAGTACTCAGCGGTTTAAGGTTTTAGTTAAAACAATGAACTTGTTAAAAAATTAACATTTATTATACATCAAAAAAATAACAAACAAAATTAGGTTATACTTATTATTATTGATAGCATATCATCAGTTACAGATAATAGAATCATTGTTTACACAAATGCATAGTAGGGCAATGTTTCTTTTTCACCTTATAGTAACTCCATATTTTTATCTTTTTATCTTCCTGAGCTTGTTCTTTGGGTTAGTTTTTGCACAATAGTTGTAATCATTGTCTTGTTCTTTTTAGTCTCTACTTCTCTGAATTCTTTATTTGTTGTTGCTATGTTGTTTTTCAGACAATTATTTGTATTATTTCTATATTTAAAAGCTTGTTTATCTGGTGTTTAAACTAAAATGTTTATTTTATTCATACTTAAAATTGCTTTAATAAGAAATCAAATTTATCATCAACGATGATGACTATGAACAGTGGAGTGACAATGAACAGTGGGGCGACAGTGAGCAGCAGTACCAAGTTTACTAAGAAATAAAGCAACACACACAATAAAGCTAAATATTGTGTTGTTTTGAATCAGTTGCATTAAATATAATATTAAGAAGTTAATTTATCTCAAGAAGCTCATATAAAAACACTATAAAAGTTGCTGCACATCAAGTTCAAAAAAATATTGTTCTAATGAAACCAAAATTGAGGTTCTAGTTTGTCTATTAATGGTTATTTGCTCATTTAAAAATGAAATTTTTTAATCAAGAGTTTAATTTTTTTTTATAAGAAATTACAAAAGAAAGGAAAGTAGCTGAGGTTATAAACCATATTAGACTCAAAAAGACTTATACAGCAGTTAGTAAAGTAAAAAACCACAGATTTACTATCAGGAAAGCAGCTAAATTGAAAAATTCTATAAGGAACACTGCATAAAAAAGTAAAACTTGGGGATCAAGTTCTGAAAATGCATGATGGACAAACCAGACTTGATAGTTCAACTGATAGTTTTTTTGTTCAAACAATTACTTATATGACAGACTGAAGGGTACTTATCTTTGGATGTTCGACTTTTAGTTAAATGTTATTGTGATAAATGGAAGATAGCTGACTTTTAATTCAAAGATAATATGCCTGGTGTAGATTGCATTCAATCTTTCATGAAAAGGCATCGTTTGACGGAAAGAGTTGCTGACAATATAAAGCATAGAAAAAGAAAAAACCCTATTTATTTTCATAGTTACTTTAGAATTTAAACCGAAAGGAGTAATATACCTCCAGAAAACATCTATAACTATGATGAGATCAATATAATAGAAAATCAAAGGTGAAAGCTGTTATTGTTCTTTGTGGCCATAAGCATCGTGTTGAAAACAAACATGAACATTCAAAGCTGTTAACTAGTATGTTTTTGATAACGCTTTTAGAGAATTTTTGCTGCCTATGGTTGTTTATAAAGCAAAGAATCTTCATCAGGGTTGGACTCCAGATGGACTACCTAGAACTGTATCTGAGTTGTATAAAAGAAGCTTTTCCAAAAAAACACATTTCTACGCTTTTAAGTAAGTTAATTAAATCTAGTCAAGCACAAACCTGCTTTTAAAATGAAAATTATGTAGTACAAAGGTTAAACCAGAAAAAAGAATTCTTTGTTTAAAGGAGTCAATGTCATCACTTTCAATAGAGCTCCACATCAAAGATAGTGATTGGTACTGTGCTTTTTGTAACAAAATGAGTAGAGTTAAGTGGGGACATTGTAACTGAGGGGGACCCTGGCCCCAGCTAAAAATGAAACCTTTTTCAAACCCGGCTCCAGCTAAACTATAAGAGTTAGCAGGGGTTGATAGCCGGGGCTAGAAGAAAATTTAATACTTTATATATTATAATTTTATGCTTACATTTATTTATATATTTTCAACTCTAATTTACTTCCAACAATATTGTAAGCAACCATTATTAAATTATGAGTTACTTTAAAATAGAGAATAAGTAAAAATACTAGTAAATGGTTAATTTAAGACTTGAAAAGTCGTAGGTTGTATATAAAAGAAAACATGAAGATGGCTAATAGATATAAATTTTTTTTGATATGATACCACAAGATAACTTGTGGTACCCTTGAAGTTAGTTAAAACTAAAGAAGAGTGTAGGCCTTCAAGAATAACTTTATTACTGCAGTTAGTAAGAAATAATTTAATAATCTCAAAACCTTTACATAAAGAAACTAACAGAGTGAATACTAATTTTAGGATAGGTTTTCTAGAGTTTTGAAAAGTTTGGAACCACTTATTATATAATTAATAAGATTAAATGTTAGACTTACTTTAGTTAATGACATTGTTGAAGACTAATCATAAGTCTAACATCTGATATAAGATACAAGATTTAGTAAACTGAAAGTAACAGAGCTTAACATCAGACAGGACCATTTTACATTGACTTCTTGGAATAATAAAAGGACACTTGTTCTTAAGAGAGATGTTTTTATAAAAAAGATGAAATAAATGATTGATAAAGCAACCGCTCAGGATGGTGAAAAATATGGAGTAGAATGAGGCTTGACTTAAAATTGAAGAGTCGGGAGTCCAGAAGGAAAAGCTTCTGAGATATGCTTTATGCATACAAATTATGGATTTAAACATATATGTTTGCTATTTATTTAGATGCTAGCATACAATATCCTTACATGTTTATATAAACTTAAGTATTTATATGATGTAATATTTGCCGAAAGAGATGATGATGATGATGATGATGATGATGATGATGATGATGATGATGATGATGATGATGGTAGTGATGATTATGACGATCATGTTGATCATAATGATGTTTATATTAGCATACATATACAAAATATAACATGAATTTTGAATAAAAAAAGTTTACTTTAGGAGTAAATTTTTTAGGTGTAACCGGACCACCATGAGGAGAAGCCCCTGTATGAGTAATTATATCTCACCTCATTTTATAATATCAATATGCTTGTACAAAATAAAAAATTAAGGTATATACTGTACAATGTTTAATGGCCTAGAACCATTTCAGGAAATTAGATAGTATAATGTTCTGTTAAAAAACAAGATAGAGATTAGACTAACAGTTTTCTTATATGATACAATAATGTTTAAAAAACGTCATAGTCACTCTCGTTGATGGTACTGCTATAACTCCACATAGTTTTATGTAAATGAATAATTGTTTTAAAACTATTTTTTATATTTATACATAAAGTTGATATTTAACGCTATTTATTTTGTTTGGATTTATAAGTTAGTGAATTTTCAAAGAAGACTGGAGATTTTAAAAGTTTATCAGCAGTTGACTTAAGAGTAATTGCTTTAACATATCAGCTGGAAAAAGAGTTTTGTGGTGTTGATCATATTCGAAGTGAGCCAACTAAAAAGGTATTATGTATATATTGTTTGGATTATGCTTTATTTGTATCAGTACTTTGTTCTATTATATGTATATATTATTAGCTTCCACGTAGAGATTTAAAATAATAAAAGTTCAAATATATAGATGTATATATATATATATATATATATATACATATATATATATATATATATATATATATATATATATATATATATATATATATATATATATATATATATATATATATATATATATATATATATATATATATATATATATATATATATATATATATATATATATATATATATTATAAAGCTGGAGAAGAAACAAGGATATTTAATTTTTAAAGTTATATTAAAGAATTATTTTTTTCATAAAACTTAAGGGAATACTTTTCTTGCCTCATAAAAAATTATAATAACCCTATAATAAATTTACTAAAATAAATAATTAAAGTTGATTTTTTAATGTTTTTAAAAGTTAACATTTTTTTCTTTTTTTTTTTTCAGCATTTTTTTTTGGCCATTCTTAAAAGTAATGTTTTTGTCTAAAATTTTATTAGTATGTCATGCTAAATTTATCTTTTGAATAAATAATCTTTTGTATAATCTTTGTTCTTTTGTGCGGAAATTTTAATTCAACATAAAGCACTTTTGAATTTTTATTACTTTAAATCTCTAATAAAGTTTAAAGCTAATAATATTTTGAAATTATAAGTTGTTTTACTGAATGGATAAAGTTCATCACAGTAAATTTACCTTTGAACAAAATCATAACAACCAGTCTATTAATTTACCTCATATACTCAAGACTCACTAAAGTTAGCCATACAAATGTTTCTATTTATAACTTATATGTTGTTAACACATGATAAATACTTCTAACTAAAAATTATTTTTACTAGAAATATTGAATAGAATATTAAAAAAAAGCAGAAACCACTTTTTTATATTTTCATTTTATTTAAAGCGATATCAAGATCAAACATTTTCTAAAAATATGCAAGATGTTTTTAGGAACTTTTTTTTTGAACAAAAGAATTTTAATCTTCTAAAATTCTCTTATTTAAATAATTTTTTATACTCTCTCTTTTTTCTCTTAAATCACCTAATAAACTCTTTTTTTATGTGATAATGAAAAAAAAAAATTTTTTAAATGCTTAAGAATTTGACAGTAAAAAGTGTTAAAATGAGTTAAAATTGTTATTTTTGAAAATCAACTATAAAAAGTAATTACAACTAGTTGAAACCTGAAATGGTTTACTACAGTTTAAACAGTTACACAATTAAGGATGTGATTTTAATAACCAAATTTATTCATGATATAAAGTGCCTTAAATCTAACATTTCTTATGGCAAGAATAATTCAAGGATACAAACAAATTTAAGTTTGATGAATCTTTATCTCAGCCATGATAAACTATTTTAAAAGTTACCTTTTGTTTTTTTACACAAATCTAAACTTGTAATCATGTAATCAAGTTGGGTTATTTTCCTAATGTATTTAAATCATTCCTAATGTATCCACCTATTCATTTCATAAGTTATAATAAAATTTTAACTCTTATTGTTGGATTAAAACTGGTTTAAATTATTCAAAAAAGCTGGATCTAATCTTATAATTTTTAGATAGAAAACTATTTTGGGAGATATAAACAATGACAATTCAGTAGTAAAGCTTCAGCTGCTGGAAATGCTTGTTGTATTGCATTTACTGTAAAATGAACTAATGCAGGATGTAAATAATTGTTTATCTTAGTCTGTCAATATTGGGCTGAAGAAAAATTCTATTTGAAAATTAGAACAATTTAGAGTGTAGTGAAAGTAAAAATACTATTGGTTTTAAATGCAATGAATATTATGAAGAAGTTAAAGAAAATGAAAATTAGTTACAAAAAGTGTAAAAAATTCTAAAAGCTATCATTAAAATAGATTCATATAATAAATAAACTGATTATATTGGTTTTACATGGTTTGATTTGTGTTTTTAAACAATTTTTACAATAACAAATTAAATACATTTTGATTTCCATCATGAAAATTTAACCTCTTTTGCGACTCATTGTAGGATTTAGGAAATATACTCTTTTTCTTTTAAAAAAATCTGGTCAGCCTAATTAAGGCATATATTTATCCTTAAGGAAATATAATTTGATTTTAAACCAAATTTTCTTTTGAAACCAAATCATTTATTACACCTAATTTTTTTCTTTCACTTTTTATTGCAAAACAATTTGAATGAAAAAATTGAATGAAAACACTTAAAAACCTTATGAAACCTTGAAAAAATTAATTATACTTAGATTTTTAATAGTATGCTAGATCTAGAAACGTTAAATTATAAAAAATGTGGTATCTAATGTTTTTTTGTCTTTGTTTGGTTTATAGGTTATAGAATCATTAGGCATGTTTTTGCACAAATATGAAGTTTAAAGTTTTATGACGATGTTTTAATTTAGTGGGTGTTATAAATAAAACAATTCTATTTATTTAATTCGTTATTACATTATAACTAGCTCATTACACTATAACTGCAAATTAAACTTTGAATTATAACAGTAACTTACATTATTTTATACTCTGCCAAATGAGAAAATTATAAGATAATATTTAAGTTTTTGTTTAAAAAATAACTAATGAACTAATGTAGAAAAGGTTTTATACTAATGCACCCCCCTCTCTTACTGCAATCGATGCCAGGGATAAAAGGAGGGCTTTTATTCTCCATGTTTTAATGCCATGCAACACTCTGCAACACTAAGGATGCATGTGATATATAACTTATCTTTAACAATACATTAACAAAATCTTTATTAACAGATTAACAAAATCAAATCATATAGAATAACATATATCATATACAATAAACATCAAACCATATAAATTTGATAATCAAAGCAAGTGAAAAAGTAATAATATGTATGCTGACATATGCTTTTTCTGAAAATAGAAGAGTGAATAGTATAGTTCTTTTAGTTTGCACAAATTTTTTTGTAATTTACCCTAGCATTATTTAGAAAAATTACTATGCATACACATCTTTAAAAGTAGGGCCAGTGTGAGTGGTGTTAAGTGGGGATGAGGGGAGAAGGCTTTTTGCCGAAAACATTTTTAATGCATAAAAACAAATCTAAATTAATTAGACAATCAATTTAGAGATAATTTCTAAATAAGACGATTCTTTTTTAGAAATTATCTCTTATAATCTAAACGATTATAAGAGATAATTTCTAAAAAAGAATCGTCTCGGTTTTGTTTTCAGCCATGTGGGCAAATTTGTAAAGTATGTAAACAATGGTTTTTCGTTGCCTAGTTTTCTGTTTTCGTTTATAATAAATGCAGAATTTTGTAATGGAAAACTTTTAGGGGGTGCAAGTTGACTAACTTAAAGGGCATTGGGAGGTTGCAGCTCTATGCTGAATCTGCCAATACCAAATTGCTAATATTTAAATCAAAATGAAAATTTAAATGATAGTAAATACCCTCATGGTAAAAGATACATCTATCCAGCCTGGAGCAGTTTCCTCCTTCTTGGCGCACCTAAAAAAATATTTTATGTAACTATCTGGTTAAAAAAATAAGTTATTTGTAAATTTTTTTGTAGGTGTAATTACATCTGGAAAAATTCATATGTGTAACTACATCTGGTTAAAATAATGCATTATTATTTATAATTATTTCCTGTTGTAATCACATCTAAAAAGAATACTAAAATTATTCTTAATATAATTGAAAAATATAAATATATCTGCAAAATTAACAAAAGACTTTTTTTAAAAGTTCAAAAAATAATCTATTGACTTATAAACAAAAAAAATAATTATTGTGTATCTTAATAATATACAAAACATAAAAGAAAAAATGCATGTTTCATAATTAAAGGGTAGCCCTGGACACAGTTTAAAAGTGGTTTTACCACTTTTTTACTAGTTTAACACAAATATAATATAAAAGAATTTAGCATTGGGCTGTTCTCTATACATTTTTTAAAAAATCGCCTATAAAAATTGCCTCTAATATATATGGACTGAGAATGAAAATGTCATCATTTAAAAATATAAACATAATCTTTTTTATAATGAAAATAAACACTTTAAAAACACTTTTTTCAAACCTAATGTTTTTTTATTGGAATAACATGAATTTCTGTTATAGGTTTGTGTATTATATTAAATATATTATTATTTATATAAAAAAAAGTTGTTTATTATTATTATGTAAACAAATTAAGTTTTCGGAGCCACCCTCCAAAACATCTGTCCGATACCACCCGATCATACCTCATTCACAAATACTAGTTTTAAAACCAGTGAATTAAACTTTTTAACAAATTTTTTTTTTAATTAACTGTTGTAAATAAAAATCTTTAATCATTGAAAAGTTATTAGTTTACATAAAAATTATGTATATTAATATGTAAATCAAATATGATGATACGTCACTCTTCTGGTGGTGGGAAACAAAATCTTGCCCTCCCAGTCATTCGCTTTAGCATTTTATGATAGATATTTTGCATATGCCATATTTTCACTCAAATAATATTATTCTAGTATTTAAAGTCACATAGTTTCTTTAGTTTAAGCTATACATCAAGTGTCCAGAGTTACCCGCTGTCCGGGGCTATATATATATATATATATATATATATATATATATATATATATATATATATATATATATATATATATATATATATATATATATATATATATATATATATATATATATATATATATATATATATATATATATATATATATATATATATATATATATATATATATATATATATATATATATATATATATATATATATATATATATATATATATATATATATATATATATATATATATATATATATATATATATATATATATATATATATATATATATATATATATATATATATATATATATATATATATTAATATGCAATGATGTAGCGATTGTAAATTGTTATCCATCGATACTAAATAATGAGTTTTTCTCAATTTAGTTTGATAAATTTAATTACAAATGAAAAAAATAATAATAATAAATTGATAAAAATAATAATAAATTGATAAATTTAATTACAAATGAAAAAAATAATAATAAACGTAAAATAAAAAACTTGAAAATATAAAAGTTGTTTTGACATTTTTTTTTGAATTTAAAAATAATTTCGTATTATATATTTAATAAGTTAATAAAAATATCATTTATATATAGCATTTTTGAATGCACAATAAAAAATAACAACTATAACATTAGTTCTAAATATTTTATTGCATTGTATATATTTCAACAAAACTTAAATTACTTCTCTCTAAGAAAAATAAGAAAATTAAAAAAAAAGTGTGCTATAGAAAAACGCAATCATAATTTTTAAGTATGGTTTCTTTTAATGTAATTGCAAATGCATTCATTTCAAATAAAATTTTGTATACTTTTGTTAAATTATGCAAAAAACCATGCTAAAACATAATTACTATCTTTGATAGCGTACTTAAACATTTTACTTAATAGTAATGCTTCTGAAAGAAATAATCATGCTTTAGCATGGTTTCTTTTTAAGTCTTTAAAATGTGTTTTATATTTTAGTATTAATAATATATAATTGTTTTTTTTATCATAAATATGTGTTTTTTATAATGAATAAAATTTTATCAATTGCATAATTGTTTAGAAAAAAGCATGTGCTTTTAATAAATTTAAATAAACGTTAACGTTTGCATATGCAAAAATATAGAGAGAAAGTTCATCTTCTTTTTAACAAAAGTCTTTTTTTTTACCAAAAGTTTGCACTCTTGTTTCGTTATGTTAGTATTACAAGAATATATACATAACAAATGTCATTTGTTGCATCAGGAAAATTTTTTTTATACAAGCGTTGTTTTAAGTGCGCTTATTATTTTAGTTACAATGATAATTATACTTTAAAGAGAGAAAATTATACTTTTTTATCTTAAATATATTTGTAATAGACAATCTTATCTATGGTTATATGATATAATAATTTAATTAAATAAGTTATATGATATAGGAATTAATATATGATATGATAATTAAATTTTTTTTTTAATAGTGTGTTGTTGTTCCTAAAGGAAAATTGTCTGATAAAGAAATTAGTGGTTTTTTTATTGAGAAAAAGGTATACTTATTTATTAAGAAAAATGTGAATATATATATATATATATATATATATATATATATATATATATATATATATATATATATATATATATATATATATATATATATATATATATATCCTTATATTGTAGTCGAGAGTGACTTTTATGGTAAAAAAAGTTTTTTTAACAATAGTTATGTGACTTCAACAAATAAGCTACATTTTTATGTCGTCTAAAAATCAAAGCAATTAAATTAATGTGGAAGTACATTAAATTTTATTGAGTTTTAAAAAACCACAATAATGATGACTAGAAAGTTTTTTAAATAATAGTGTTTTTGTTTTTTAAAAGCATATTTTTAAACATGCGCGTAGTGTTGCTACATTGACTATATTATAGGCTGTTAATTTAAGGGAGTGTTGCTACTTCGACTATCTTATAGTCTGCTGCTACAAGGGAGTGTCACTACATTGACTGAGGGTTTTGTTTGGGGAAGCAATCTATAATTTGAAAAAAAAAAAATTAGTTAGTTTTTTAAACTTTTTCTGGTCTTGTTTTTTAGCGCTCTCTATAAAACTCTCTATGTATATACATACATACTCACACACACTTGATAAGAAATAATAACGGAAACAATACTTCCATCTCCACCAATTGTGCAAATGGAGGATCTTCCTTGTTGGTATTTTTTCCAAATTCTTTGATGTGTGAAAAATAATAAAATACAATTCTTGAAAGTAGCAAAAATAAATATACTTTAAAGAAATGGAAAAGTAAAAACAAATTGAAAGAAAAAAATTTGGAATATAAAATAAAATAGCAATCAAAGGATATTTTGGTTTTCACTTAGAATATTGTTATTCTGTTTGTTGTTTCATTTGATTGATCATAATATCAATATACTTTTTGTCGTACTATTTAAATTTTTTTACTTTTTAATTAAAAAATTGACCTCCCTAAGGCCTAGAAGGCCAACACAGTTGAGGAGGCTACTTTAATTGTGGTTACAACTCTCTCTATAACTCTGAAACACAAACCTTGATGCACAAGGTTGCTGTGCAGAGAAACAAGTTTAGCGTGGTATTACAAGGAATGTGCAATATATATATATATATATATATATATATATATATATATATATATATATATATATATATATATATATATATATATATATATATATATATATATATATATATATATATATATATATATATATATATATATATATATATATATATATATATATATATATATATATATGTGATAAAGAGGCTTTAGCAAGGGCATGCGAATTCAGTCAAAAAGTATTCATCTTAGACTTTTTTTACCCAAATACAGTTTGCCTCATTCAAAGATAAGTATTTAAACACAAGGTTTTGGCATAACTAAAGGTTAAGAAAAATGCATTCTTTAACATTTATCTATTATAAAACAGTTTAAAGTATTTTCCTTTAGAAACCTTTATTAGATATTAAGAAAAGAATCCTTTTTTAATAAAATCTGATTGCTTTTAAATTTTTTTGTTGGGATCCTTTTTTGTTTTATATATGCAAAAGCACACTTGCTAATTTGTATCTTTGGTTTTTAGGTGAAAGTTTCTGGAAAAAAAAATGATGTTAACTGCAAAATTTTAACAAGTGCCAATAATAGTATAAATGTTAATAATGATCAGAATTTTAACAGTCAAAGTGATAATGATCAGAATGATGATGATCAAAACGATAATGGAGAATCAATAGAAGATCAAAGTGAAGAATTCATAAAAAATCAAAATAATTGGTAGATTGTATTTTTTTTTTGTTGATTTGCAAATTCTTAAATAATTTGATATGAAAAAGGAAAAATATAAACATAAAAAACACAATTTCCAGAGCAATAAATATAATTTAAAATATTAAATAATATTTATCAATGGTTTTTATTATGATGAACTTTCATGTATATTTTTTTAAACTTTCATAAACTTAAAAATGAATTTTTACAAATTTAAAATACTAAATTAAAATAAATTTGTTACAAAAAGAGAAAATAGTTTCATAATCTAAAATTGTAAAAATGAAAATGTTATTTTAATTTTTAAAGAATATACTTAATTCTTTATTTTTTTTAAATTTTTAATTATTTTTGGCAAGTAGGTTACCTGGTTACCTGTGTTTATTAGTATTTTTTATTTTTTATAAATTGCTAAACAGATTTTATTAGTTTTCACGCTTTTTAAAAAAAGTCTTATTAATACATACAAAAGACTTAACTTTTTTTACTCTCAGAAAAAAGCTGGTTTTAAATTCTTTGAATTATTCTTTAGTTTTGAAGATGAATTTGTTGAGAATGCTGAAGATGATAATAACAATGATGATGATGATAGTGGGTGGATTACTCCACGAAATATTGAAAAAATTAAGGAAAAGATGGACAATGGGGATGAAGTTCGATTAGAGGATGCAAATATTAAATGTGCTTGTTTAACTACTGATTTTGCAATGCAGGTTTTTATTACTTTATTAAGAATTAAAAAATAGCATATGAAATAAAACTTCAAGCTAACCATCTATAGATTAATTATCACGTTTTCTTTCTGCCATACAAATGCTTAACCTTGGGTATCATTTAATTGCTCATGTCTTAAACCTACGGTAAAACTACTACGTTCAACACAAATTTTAATTTTATGACTTTAGCCAAGATAGATCTCATTTATTGAGATAAAAGATATCAGCCCAAAGACCATTATGAAGAATATGGCAAATCGAATTCTAGTAAGCTTTCAGGTAGATGTTAGAAGTAATGTCATTATACTTCTTAAATGTCATTAACTCTATCATTATGGTAAATCTGATGCAGAAGCAGGATGAATCATAGGATGAATCTGATGCAAAATTAGATAAAGGTTTTGGTTAAAAGTTGACTACAGTATAATCTAAGCACCCAATTGGAGAGTAAGGAGTATGAAAGACAAAGGTTTTTAAAATTAGCTAAATTGATTAAATAAACTAGTTTTTTAGTTTTTAATTTATAATAGTTTTATATACAAGTTGTAATATTTTGTGAATCAAATTTGAGAAAATTATTTTTTCCTTAAAAAAAAAGTTATTAATAGTTCTGCAAGCATTTTACAATCTCTATTAGTTACCCTAAGTATATCAAGTTAAATACTTTCAATGAAAGAACATCATGCAGAACTGATAATCCTAGGGACCAGGCGATTTTTTGTCTTATCTCAAAACTCACCATCCTCTCTTGCCAAAACCATCCCTGCTTCTGCAATGTCAGAATTTTTAAAAGACCTAGAAAAAATTCGATTTCAATTCAAAACAAAAACAATACTTATTTTCAAAGTAAAAGCAGAAATGCATCAATTTATTTATACTATATTCACTATTTTCAACCGGTTTCAACACCAAAACCAAAATTAATCAAACTCAAAAAAAGGGAAAAATTTACATGTCTATTTTTAAAATGACTGTTCTTGACATGTAACCATGGTTAACTGTCAATAAAGCTGGTTTTTTGCAACACAATTCCTTAATTGTTTCAACTTTTCGAATGTAAGCAATAAAAAACACAAAAGCATAATGAACCACTATTCCTTTAAAAAAATTTGAAATTGTGTTCATTGGTCTTGATGCTCGGTTGATGCACGACTTTAATTTATTGATAAAATGACTGCAGATGTATGAGGTTCTGTCATGTTCAATCAATTTAAATGATTATCTGTATGGTTATTTCAAATGTCTTAAATGTAAAAATGCATTTTTAGATCACGATTTTGAAATAAGTTATTTTGGTATTTAGTAAAAAGTTTGCTGAAATTTTGTTTTGGTTGTAAAATTATTCAACCAAAATTTTCATTGATTTCAGTTTTTGCATATTTTCTGTTTTAGTTAATTACTACTTTAAGTAGTAAGCTGTTGTCTTTTATATAATTTTTATTCTTGCTAATCAATGCATTTTTTTTGTTTAGCTGATCTAAAGTTGTGTAAATTGTTAAAAGTTATTTATTTTATTTTTACTTATTATACTTTTAGTTTTATCTGTTCAGAGAATAATTTTTTTGAACCTAGTTCAAAGGATTTTTTTTAAAATCTACTTCAAAGAATTTTTTTTTACCTAGTTTAGAGGATATTTTAAGTGTCTTAAAACAGTAATACAGTAAATTTTATTCAAAAAAAAAAATTCATAATAAATAGAGTATTGCTGTATAAATAGAATGCTGCTATTAGTTATGCTGCTGTTAGTTTTTTTTTTTAAATAAATTTTAATTTTTGTCAATATGTTGACCAATATATGAGATTTATTAATTAATTAAATAAATCAAATTTAAGAAATCACAATGAAAAAATACTAAAATTAGTATTGGATATAAAAAAAGTATATAATATTAAAAAAAAAAGCAACCATTAAAGTTAATTTTCACAATATTTTTATTATGTGAAAATTAATCATATGGCTAAAAATTAATTTTTTTTTTTTAGAATGTTATGATTCAAATGGGTCTGCATGTTGTGTCAGTTAATGGAATGTTAATACGACATGCTAGAAATTATATTCAGAAATGTTATGGGTGCTACAAGTGAGTTATAGTTTTTATTATCTTACTGCCTAATATATATATATATATATATATATATATATATATATATATATATATATATATATATATATATATATATATATATATATATATATATATATATATATATATATATATATATATATATATATATATATATATATATATATATATATATATATATATATATATATAAATATATATAATATATATATATATATATATATATATATATATATATATATATATATATATATATATATATATATATATATATATATATATATATATATATATATATATATATATATATATATATATATATATATATATATATATATATATATATATATATATATGTGGGATTGCACTCTTCCTGACAACATATTTATTTTTTTCATTGCGACAACTTAACCATGGCTTTTTAGATTTTTATAAACATTTAAAAAATGTTCTAAATAAAGTATAATGTAATAAAGCGAGAAGTTGCTTTTAAAGATTGTATACTATAAAAGACATTTAAATTATCGAAAGATATATTGTTAAAAAGTCTATTTTTTACAATAAATATAAATTTTATAAACAACAATGAAAATGATTTTTTTAATAAACTTTTTAATGAGTTCAATATAATAGTCAAAAAATAACAATTTAATAGTCAAAAAATAACAAAGTTATTTTTTTTGTTACACACTAAACAAAATGCTTTTAAATAAAGTTTTAAAATGTTATTAAATAAGTTATCATAGAATATTAAATAAAATTTTTATTTATCTGTAAAGTATTTTTTTTGGTAACGATGAATCTAATTTTTTTAAAACAATTCTTAATTTTATAAATGACGGTGACAATGAATGCATTTTAATAAACTTTTTTAAAAAATACTTTTTGATTATTTCATAAAGTTAAATGCTTTTTTAGATTATCATCTATAATAGGACAGCTTCTTCTTTAAAATAGCACCCAAATTTTTCAATATTTGACAAGTCTGGCAACTGGAGAGGTCACTTAAGGGGAACTTTGTTTCTTGCAAATTTAAAGTTTTTTTTGCTTTGTGGCAGGGAGCATTGTCCTGCTGAAAATTATATTCCAAGACAACTTCCTAAAATAGTTTCAATATTGTTAACTCCTAAACTTAATTGAGCATGGTCATGTAGTAAATGTTCTGCATTCATCCTACCTTCGCATATAACTCTAGATCATTATGCTAATGTTAGAGCAATATTATCATCATCAGATACGCTTTTCATCTTTTGATCATCAGATATCAGCACCCTTCGTACTGTTTTTGAGACCATTGTACTGTTTTTGGGACCTGAGGGGGACAATCTTCATTTGTTTATTTTTACTGACAAAATGAACAAAGGATGGTTGCCCCCATCTAGCACACCTATTTCCACACCTAAATGATAAAAATGAAAATAAAATTTGATGGAAATTACTTGCCCAAGAAACAGTGGTTGCTATTGTAAGTCTCTCAGTTTATTTTGTACAAACTCCTTTTTTCAGTAGTGGTACACCCATGATCCAACTTTGATTTTTAACAGTATTTAAACATTGCTCGAGCAGTGAGTATTTAACCTGTGGTTGAACTCTGCAATGTAGCAGCAGCAACAAGCCTTTTTACAGTGCACCTATTCCATCGCATTGAGATTTGCCATGATTAGTTGTAAAGAAATCATTAGCATGGTGACAAAAGTGATAATGAGACTCAAATTTTAAAACTTTAATTCAAGCATTATTAGCCTTGGTTGTTCACATCTAAAACTAGTAGCCCATAAAGATAGGGTAAGCTATGCAAAAAGAAAGATGAATAGTATCCATACTGCAATTAAAAAGGAAAAAAGGAAATCTTAACCCTTTGTGGACTGATGGGAGTTTTTTGTCCCACTGCATTAACTCTTGTCTTTCTCTTAAACCTGTTGTTTGTTTTGCTGTAAAAACTTTATATTTGGTTTTTATTCATGTTTTAAAACTACATTTTAATTTTTGTCATCAATTGTTTTACATTTTAGATGTAATGTCGAATGATGGTTTTTAAGGAAGTTAAGTGTATTTATTTTGTAGAAGTAAACCTATCATATTTATCTTTGTATACTTTTATTTATGTTGGGAATTTTTTAGAACTTTAATGTGTAACTAAATATTTGAAGTTTAGTTTAAGTGTTAAAAAGTTTTGCATACGCTACTTTGTTATGAAAATTAAAGTGGCACTAATAAGTCCTGTCAGGCGTAACAACCTAAAATTTTTAAAGCCAAACATTTATTGTTTACAGCAGTAAAGTGTAAAAAACTAAACATATAACCAAAGATGAATTGTAAGATTTGTTACTGTGCTGTAGAAGATGCTGAAATAATTTTACAAGATCTTCCTTCTGGTGATATCTGTAGAACTGAATCATCTGATTTTGATTCCGATACTGAGCGAGATGTTATTATTAATCCTATTGATAATGTCAATATCATTAGGAGATTCCATTAAAATCTCCTGTTGAAATTAACAATTTCAATAGGCTGCAAGTCTATTTATTCAATACTTTTGTCAATTAGAGGAAAAAATGAAGACATTTATTGGCCTTTTTACAAAACTAACTGTGGAAGATGTAATGTTTTCTCAAAAGAAAAGATTGAGTCAAGACCATAAAATGCACCTCTTGTATTATTTTTTATGCATATATAAAAAAAACATTGTTTTTTGAAATATCAGAGCATTTAGATAAATTTAATTAAAATGTATCTAATAACAAAATTTTTTTTATAAAGTAATTAAAAAAATTTAAAAAAGCTTTTATTGCCTGACAGAACATATTAGTTTCACTTCAGTTTCCATGGTAATGATCATCCTGATATATTGATAAAATATGTATTGTCTATTACTTAGCCCTGAATAGTATATTTCAATTGTATATTATATGAAACATTAGCAATTTCCACCCTCTGACCATAAAGGTTTAAGCAAAAAAGCTTCGTTATGAAAGTAAGTGATGTATATTTACCGGTAAATTTTGATTCAAAATCTTCAAAATCTTCTCTTCTGAAAGTTTTCTAGTAAATTTGAAAATCAGAATGGATAAATTTTTCGTTTGAAATAAATCTTTTTTTTAAACAAAACCTTATGAAAGAAGGGGGATTTACACTTATTGAGTTATTTCTGCGATATCAACCTATTCGACAGAGATACTTATTTTAAACACTTTTTGTCCAAATCAACTTGGAGGTTGAAAACATGGTATGAAACCTAGTGATTATCTAATAACCAACCAGCCACTTTTGATCTACTTTCACATGAATACATTTTTATAAAGACTTTCAGTATTCCAATGAAAACAAATAATGTAAACAAAATATAATGCTTGTTTCATATTTTTTGGTGTGAATGTCTAAAATAATTAACTCATTAAAGAACATTTATTAAAAATATTCTTTAATGAGTGTTTAATTATGCAGGACTTACTGGTATTACAATTAAGTTTTAATTGCAGTTCTGTTGAATTTTTTATAGCAAAGCAACTTATTTTCAATTGACTAATTTATCTTCTTGTTTTTTCCCACTATTTTTATAATAAACTATTTCAATTTAATTTTATTGTCCTTTTTTTTCTCAAAATCTTTTAGATATTTATCTAAAACTCATTGTCAAATTTATGGGCCCTGATCAGTGTTTAACAGAAAGTAGAGCTTTTATTTTTATCGGGGCCCACAGTTTTATGGGCCCAATTCAAAAAAAAAAAATTTTTAAAAGAAACTCTGAAAATTAATTATTCAATTAATGACACGGAACTTCCTAATTTTAAATAGCCCATGACTCTCAAAAATCTTAATCCACCACTGGCGCCTCTATGCAAGATAAACAAATGTAACACTGATGTTTTGACTGGGAATCGAAAAGTTATCAACAATCCTAAGTAATAAGGTTTTTCCTGCTACTGGTTTTTTTAATTTTAATGTTTTTTTTTTTAATTTTACACTTTTTTTACAATTTACCCGTGAGGTGTATTGGATGCACCAATCAAGCTACTGTCCTCAAATAAATTGGGACAAAATGGCATTTTTATTATGTCATTAAAGCATTTCTCATTACATATACTGTATACAGTAATAAGAATTTTAATTAGCCTTTATTTCTTGTATAGTTGTATAAAAGAATATTGTCAGTAGATTAAAAAAAAGTACATTTCACAATATATTTTAACAGTTATATCACGTGTGATAAAATAAAGCTTGAATTACATTTTTATTTTTATTTATTTTATTAAACTGTTAACCTTGTCTTTTCTTTTAATAGAAAGTTACTAAATTTACCAGGCGGTAATTTTTTATTTACCTAAAAATTGACTTGAAACATACTGTTTTTAAGCCCAGAGTCCTTTCCTCCATTATACTTAAGGACTTTGGGTTCAAAAAATGATTGTTCCTCTAGCCTTAAAGTCCTAATTTTTTATTATTAGTAGTCCATAAACTTATTTATAATTTAAGAGCTCTTGGATATCAAAAACTAGGATGAAGTAATCTTTTTGTGACTTTCAAATCCAGAGTCCTTTTTAAGACTCCGCATCCCATATATTTATATATATATATATATATATATATATATATATATATATATATATATATATATATATATATATATATATATATATATATATATATATATATATATATACACATATCAACCTTTGAAATCAGGAAAAATGAGGTCGGCAATCCAATCTTTTAGAGGTCAGCATCAGGTTGGCAAATATTATATACAAAGTACAAAGGTCTTACAATAAAACATAAAAACGAATTCGGCTATTTTTTCCTGACCTCAAACACATTCAGTTTGGTTGTTAGGTTGGCATTGTTGAATACCGACCCTAATTCTGAGGGTTGATATATATATATATACATATATATACATATATATATATATATATATATATATATATATATATATATATATATATATATATATATATATATATATATATATAAATATATATATATATATATATATATATATATATATATATATATATGTGTATGTATATATATATATATATATATGTATGTATATATATATATATATATATATATATATATATATATATATATATATATATATATATTTATAAATTTATGAGTTTTTTCATTTCATTTTAGAGAAACTCATAATATGGAAGAAACATTTTGTCCATCTTGTGGTAATAAAACATTGCTAAAAGTTTCTGTTACAATAGACAGTGATGGTACTGTACAATATCATTATCCTAAACGTGGGCGAAACTTCAATATTAGAGGAACGAAGGTTTGTTGAAATTTAAAGTATGTTTTACTGACTGCAGTTACTCAGGAGTGTTTTAGCTCAATTTGGGCTATTTTGAATATTTCCTAAAAAGGCAAAATTTCAATCATTTAATGGTCTATTTAGGAGCACAGAAATGCTAGTCTGAAACAAATGAGGCATTTATTGCTTCAATGCTTTTATAAAGGAGTCTTTAATATAAAAACTCCTATATAAAAAATGATAAAGTTTTATTTTTCTACATCAATTTCAACATTAATTGCTAATTCTTAAATATCAATTCTTGGGGGTTTAGAAAAAGAAAAGCTTAACTGACATAAAGATAGACAAATATATAAGATAAGGAGGCAAATATAAAAAAAAAAAAAATTCAAATAATATAATATGTTTATAAAAATAATTGAATAATTAAATTAAAAGTTGAATAATAAAATCACAAAATGATTCACAGAATTTTTGTTAAAATTAGTTCTATTAAAAGTTATCAACAGTTATTTTCTGTTAACGACTGTTAAAAAGATATATTTTTGAAAGCAAAAATAATGTTGAGGCACATAAACATAGTTGTCAATAGTAAAAAAAATAAAAGTTATTACTCTTCTTGAGTGATCAATTTTATAAACTTTTATTAACCCTTAGCAAGTTTGTACACCTTTTGGCACTTTTTACAAACAGCAACTATGGCAACTACTTCACCACCTTTATTAGTAGGTTCTTTTTGAAAATCCAAACAAAAGAACTAGTTTTTAGGACTTTACATATAAGAAACATAATAAAAACATAAAACAAACATAATAAAAAAAATAATAAAAAATAAAACATAATAAAAAAAAGTCATGAATACCCTTTCAATACAGATATTGCTCTTTATAATAAAAGAAGACTTTTAGAAATAAATTTAAAACAATAACTAATTCAACTAATTGAAGTTTATCCGCAGGAAGAACTTTTTAACAATAAAAATTATTTGGACTTAATTTATATATTTTAAACTCATGCTACAAGGTTGTCAAACGTACAAAAATATTTTAAATATTTGCTTAAAGCTTCAAAATAATGTCGCATTTAACAAATGTACAAAAATTTTTTTTGTATAAATTTTCGCTTATGTAAAATTTTGCTCTTTGTCTTTTATTTAATTGAAGTTTGATTAAATTAAAGATAAAGAAGCAAAAAAAGTCTTTAAATTAAAGAAATCAAAGGATAAAAAAGACTCTTGACCAATTAATACATTTTAACTTTTTTTTTTAAACAATTAAAAAAAAAAATTATAAATTAAATTAATGGAAATTAACAGAATTAACAAAAAAAGTATCATTTCGTTATCTATTTTCAACAGAAATTTTCCATTATTTTTGTCTGTTAAAATTGTTTGGCGTTACAGACTTTAATGTTAATGGATGGATTCACCAGATATATTTACTGGTTGGAAAAATAAAACGCTCATGTTTAGTTTTTAGGCAGATAATGACAATGGATAGTACTAGTGATAGTGTTCAGTATTATTATACATAAAAATGAGAACTATTATGGCAATAAATACACTGTCCTCTAAAACATTAGCAACCAAATTAAAAAAAAAAAGTTTTTCTACTTCGGTTACTAATTTTTTTCTTTAACTACGCTTTAAATTAAAAAAATTGTTAATATTACATATAATAAACATGTTTTTTTGCTTAAATTGGTATTTTAATGCAAAAATGTGGTCTAAAAAAAATACTAAAATCAATAGATAATGGCAGATCCTTTACTTTTGAATCATAGAACATCTTCTTGGCATAGATTCTTTGAGTTTATTAATTTTTTCTTGTATAATCTCATTCCATGTGGTTTCAATAGCTTTATATAGCTCATCAGCGTTTTTGAAAGGTCCTTTGTGTTTTATGGAAAGTTCAACTTGGTACCATAAATTTTCAATTGGGTTGAAATGAGGTGATTGAGCTTTCCATTTCATTACTTTAATTTGAATTGTTCAAACTATTCTTTAACGAGTTTAGAGTTATGTTTGACATTGTTTTCTTGTTAAAATGTCAATAAAAGAGGCATTTTGTTATGAGGAACCACTTTTTCCTTGAGAATATCACAATAAATACATTGATTCATAATGCCATTTTTTTTGTAAATAGGTCCAACTCGATTAAGACCATAGGAAAAATCCCTAAACCATTGCAGTTTTTCCACCACCATGCTTGATTATTCCTCCTGTGTATTTAGGATCTAAGTGTTTACCAAAAGTCCTGAAAGTTGTAACTGTCTACAAACAGTATTTTGAGGCATGGAAATATTCAGTTTTTTAATGATATCATTAGCACTGTGGGAAGGATTAACATGATGAATAATTTTTATATTATAAAAAAGTTGCTAATGTTTTGAAAGCCACATTTTTTGCATTAAAATACCAATTTTCTTGCTACTGTTGGATTTTTTTAAATATCTTTATATAAATCCATTATAAATAATTTTTTTCCATACCACAAAGTTTCCATCCGAATAAGCAACAAGTTGTGTTGCATACTAGAATGAATTTAAAAGTTTATTTTCATTTTGTAAACACCCAAAAAGTTACAGAGAAAAGAGAGATAAAGGTCAATGCACATGCACTCATAAATTGCCTAAAATTTGGAAATATTTACATTTTCGTAATAAATTTTAACATTTAAAAAAATTTCCATTAAAACTATTTATTTTTAATTTAAAAATTATATATCATAATTATATTACAAGTAAAAATAAATTAATAAATATTGATATTAAATTAGTTTAAAGTTTATAATATATTAAAAAAAAAATAGTCGTTCATATTGAAAAAAAGAAACATAATCAAACATACATCTTGTAAATAATCGTAGTATACATAATGATAATACATCTTGTAAAAAATATAGTCTAAACAAACAGTTGTCTCTTCTAGTCAGGTTAAATAGAAAAGAGAATAATAGAGTTGTCCCTTCTAGTCAGTTCAGCAAACAGGTTAAGATATTATGATGAGTTTAGTTAAAATTAAAGAAATTTATTGAAAGTAAATCAACTGTTACTATGAAAAAGCATTTCAGTGATACTCTATTTGTAAAAGAATTTTCATAATGAATGCATCTTTTCACTATTTGAAGTAAAAGTTGACGGTGGTGTAGTGGAGATTTTATTTTGATGTTGAATCTAAAATGAAAATTGACTTCCTCAACTTGGCAAATGAATTTAAATTTTTGCGTTAGGTTATCTCTTATCAATTTTTTAGTAATCTAAGTTTAATTCATTGCAATTTCTTATTGTAAAGTAGATGTTTTTATCTCTAATATTGTCTTTGAAGTTTCTATATCATTGCAATATCTTTTTTAAGTGAGTAGATTGTACCTAGACCACTAACTAAAATGTAGGTGAATACAAAAATTAAGTAAAAATATAAAAATTCAATGTTTTTCATATAACAAGTCTATATCTATTAAATTTTTTTTCAGACTGCTATGAAGTATGATGGCCTGCAGTGATAGTCCATTTATTTAACCATAAAATCAAAAATTACAAATTTAAATATAATTTACAAATTTTAGTTTGGTGTCACTCATATAGTTAAAAACTAGTCAATGGAGTGGCACCTTAATAAAATAAACAAATAAAATTACAAAAAAAAAATTAAAACGAGGAAGTAATAAAGAAGGTAAACTACATTAATACAAGTAATAAAAAAAGAAGTATACGGAACAATACTATTGAAAAAGTTGGAATTATAACAAAAAATATAACGGAGTAATTCTAACAAAAATGAAAAAAAAAAGAGAGAATTAACAGATGAGATAAGACGAGTGAGAAAATATGTAAGAGAAAACAAAAATTTAATCACATAAGTTCAGAAAGATAGAGCGACAGAAAGCAATTTTAGCAGAAAAATATAAAAAAGCAAAATAAAGGCAAATTTAAATTAAAAAATATATACATACACTACTACATACAATATTAAAGGGTATATTACGCATTACATAGATAAGTAAAACAAAAGTAATTATCAAGATATAGAAAAAGAAACAACAACTAAATTGACAGTGAAAAATGCAAAGAAATTAATACATTCAACATTTTTTATATACATAAATACACGACTTATAAACAATGTACAAAATTAATTAAAATTGTTTGTTAATTAAAAGTGATGTATTTAAGCCATAGTTAATTATTTTTTTTTTACTGGTGCCTTGACCTCCTGTGTAACCTTTTTTTTAAGTAGAGTTGTTGTCGAGTGTTTTCTGAAATGGTTTATTTTTGAGATTTCAACATAAACGATTTTGATGAGTTAATCATTGCTAATAATCAGCGATGACAATGACTCAGAAAGACTTAAGAGTTCAGTGATGACAATGACTCAGAGTCATTGTAAGACTCTAAGTCTTTCTGAGTCATTGTCATCACTGAACTCTTAAGTTTGGTAAGTTACAGCTTAATAACAATGTTGCTAAGTTACAACTTAGTAACAATGATTTATCACCAAGTTTGATTATTCACCATGGTTGCTCAATGGATTTTGAGTTAAGGTGTTCATTTATTCTATTACAATTCTGGATTGACAGCCTGAATAGATACAAAAGATCAAATTCTATTAAAAAGTAAACAAAGTAAATAAAAATATATAATATTATTAAATATATAATATTATAAAAAAAGTTCAAAGTGAATGTAAAAAGTTCGAAATAAAAAGTTCAATGTGCAAAATTTTAATGTTAAAAAATTGTACACTGTAAATTTTATTGAATTAAAATTTTATTGAATTTTATTAAATTATTGAATTGACTCTGAGTTAAAGGAAGGGTAGTGTTGCCAGAAAAATAAATGAAAAAAACATTAACCGCCTCAAATCATATTTGGTCACAGTAATGGAGTTTCTCAAAACAGGTTGCTTGCAAATAAATGAAGATAAACATCAGTTGCCATAAAATAAAATTAAATACCAATGAGAAATGATGAGCAAAAAAGTATTTGCCAAAGATGTGATATTATTTGTATCTGCAAGAAAATCATGCATTATTGATAAAGGGAATTTATTCATTTTAGCTAGCAGCAAAATTAATAGCGATGATATTATTTACTGAAACAATTTTGAACAAACTCCTGCCTGGGAAAAACTGCTAAGTTTAACCAAAAAATGCTTGTCTAGTGTGTACTTGTTGTAAAGGGGGTGTTAAGATCATACTTTGTCACCAAAAATCTTGCAGTTTACCATAATATTTACTTCAAGCATTGTATCAAGAAGTACCTTTCATTAAAGACTATCATAATGATGAACAATACTTTTGGCACCAAAAATCTTTTTTTTTGGCTTTTTTTTTTATTAGGAAAAATGCTGCTCTAGAGAGAAATCAACATAAACCTCACAAAAATCAACTCCTTACCACAAATTAAGAAAATCCGAATTATTATACTTAAAGAGGAAACCTTATGTTAAAATTAATAAAAGAAGTAAGTACTCTACATAAATACATTTTAAATACTTAAAACTCTAGGGAGTAATAGCAATTTATAATTTTACGGATTTTTATTGAACACCCATTATTGCTGATGTGGCAAAGCAAAACAACTTGTGAACTCATCAACATTTATGATTTAAGGCATAGCCCCCAGCGTCATATCCCTTGAGCCCAAGCACGTTTTATGGTAAAAATACCTCATAAAAAAATTTTCAAATAAAAGTGTGGAAGTGTATGAGTAGTCTTTGGTGAAATTTTTAGTTCTCTAAGCAACTCTATGATAAATTTTTAGTTTTTAAAGCAACTCTGTAGAAAAATTTTAGTTCTCTAAGCAACTATGTAGCAAAATTTTAGTTCTTTAAGCAACACTATAGTAACTTTTTTTATACTAAAGTAAATTTTTAGTTTTCTATGCAACTTTAAGGTAAACAAAAATGTTTTTAGACAATCCTTATAAAATAAAATATTTTCGGTTTTTCTATTTTAAAGTTCCCTACAAAGAGATTTGGGAGTTAGTATATATTTTTGACAAATTTTTGTAATAATAACAGTATTTGGTTATAAATTTTTAAAAGCTTATTTAATTTATTAGTGTTTTTTTTTTCTTCATGTTTTTCTACATTGTAACTACAGTTGAGCTCTAGTAATTTGAAATTCTAAAATTCGAAAGATTATTTAAGTCAAAAAATTATTTCGGTTTCTTCAGGGTTTAATATTTAGGATTAAATTCTTATAATTTGAAAACTCCTGTAATTCGAGACCCCTTGGGGATTCGAGTTGCATAAGTTCAACTGTATTTGTTAATGCTCTTTTTTTTGCCAGAATTGACATTTATTAAAACATGTAAAATATTTTATTAGTTTTCTATCCCTATTCCAAAGTCTGGCCGTCACAACACAGATAATGTAGTTCTTTGTGCAGATCAACATATTAAAACAGATCGTCTTCCGAAGCGTAGGGATAAAATCAACCCACTTGATCCAGATTATGAGGCGAGAGTTTCTCCTTTTTCAATAAATGACACGACTAGTAGGGCGTTTATTGTTGGTGCACATGTTAAGAATACGAGAGGAAGAAACCCGAATGAAGCAAAAAAGAAAAGTCGTAAAAAGTAGCGGAAAAAAATATTTAAAAATATCTAGCATATTTGTAAATATCTAGCATAAAAATATCTATATTTGTTTTTTTTTCCTTAATTTAAATAGTTCTAGTAATTTTTTAAATAAAGGGTTCTTGAATGTAACCTATTTGATTGGTAGGTTCTTGAATGTAACCTATTTGATTGGTAGCTTCAAATCTTCCAATCATTAAGGTGGTCTTCCAGTATTAAAAATATGGAAATCTACAAAATATTAGTTTCTTCATATCATTGTAAAGAGCTTTAATACAGTATTTTAAAGGTGAAAAAATTAACAAAAACGAGCAAATGGAAAAAAGGTTTTTACGTTTTAAGTACCAAATTTTTGATATAGGGTAGATAATGGTAATATGAATACCTTAAGCGAAAATTGGAATAAATATTTTCAAAATATTTATTCCAATTTTCAAATTATGCTGGATCCAAATTTTTTGCGAATAAATTATTTTTAGGGATCAAATTCATGATCCACTTAGATATTTGGATACCCGAAATATTTTTCTTTAAAACACAGAAGTTTTTAAAAAGTGGCAGAAGTGAAATTACTCTGACCACTTGGTGGTCTGGGTAATATGATAAAAATAACAACCTGACAATTAAAACTAATTTTTCGGATATAATGATTCGTTAATAACAAAATTTATCATTAAAAGATTAAAATTTAAGACACTTTTTTTGAAATTATACTGCTATGTTTTCCGCAACAACAAAAAAAAGTTCGTTATTTTTTCAACTGAAACTTTTGAATGACTAAAATTCAAATTATTTGGATTTAAATTGGAGAAAAATATTTAGTATTGTTAAAATAATAAAATTTTTTTCTATGTTTTGTATTTATTCAAAAAGCAATTAAAACCACTGCTACTTTAGAACTTTAAAGTAGGTAATTTCAATGAAAAAACACTGGGTAATTTAAGCGCAGTCATATTACACAAAAATGGCATCTTTAAATAAAGTCAAAACTAAATGTGTCTATGTAGGGTAAGTTGGCAAATTTCGGGCAACATCGAATTTCGTGCAAACAGCCTTTCAGATCAAAAAAATCACACTGACGCTACTTTAATCAAAGTGTTGTTTCACGTTTCAGTCAGTACAACCTTCCGCATCAAGTTACTGCTAACCCCATGTCCGTAGTCCAAATATTTAATTTAAAAAAGTTATAATAAGTTACGATACATCGGTTTTTCACGTTAAGTGAAAAAAACGTAAATCTTTTTATACCTAAACTTTACACTTAACTGTACAAAAATGAAGCACGACATGTCTTTGAAAGAAGTACTAATCGTTCACCCAAATTTTACAAATATGTTTGGAAAGGTTAAAAAAATAATAATAATAAACAAATACTATTTTTGATATAAAATATTTCTGCACGAGTTATCGAAAGCATCATATTTCGTGCATTATGCTCGAAATTTAATTTTCACAGAATTAAATTTCGTGCATTATTTTATTTTTACCTAACAATGATTTCGAATACTTTTATTGTTTTAACTATCTTTAAAAGTATATTTAAGGTTGCTAGTGACGTTTTTAAGACAAAACAAAAAAATTAAAGCAACAGCTGCGAAATCATCCGCATGGCTGGATTTCTTTTAAGTGTTTTGAATATATAATAAAGAAATGACACAAAATTTTAGATTTTGTGATCTATGATTATTTTGTATCTGTTTAATTTGTCTTTAATTTAAACCTGTTTTTTTTTTTTTACTTTATAATTAAAAAGTGCACGAAATTAAATTTTACTTCGTCAACTTGCACGAAATTGTGCAAATCATCAAAAAAAATATTCATAACGAAAACAAAAAACAAAAAAAATAAAACATAGTATTTAATAATTGCCTAAATTATTACTATTTTGTAGATAAAACAGTTGGCTGTCTAAATTGAGGTCATTATACTTTTATTATACTTTTGGTGGCCGTTTGGTTATATTCTATAACGTTTACGGCAAATGTTCAGCAAACTGCCCGAAATTCGCCAACTTACCCTAACATATTTTTCTTTACGAAAAAATTAATTTCATTATTTTAGCACCAAAATTTCGCGCCACAGATTTATTCATGCGTGATAATATTATTTTAACAAAGCAAAAAGTTTAACATCGTTTTAATTAGATGATAGCTGCTAATTACTGCATATAAATTTATGCTAGTTGTACTGATTCCAGTTATCACCGCATAAAGACGATTCGAAAAATACAAAGCAACTTTAACTTTACTTCTTACATCGAAGAAGTCTTTAGATAAGCTCATATTACCAAGGTGCTCATATTACCCTAATCTACCGTAAGGATTTGTTAAAAGAAATTTTGTTCAAAATATTATTTTTCTTGACTAAAATTATCATAAATTTGTCAATTCTTATCTAAATGCCGAGTTTCTTATCCTATATACCTTATTTATACCTTGGTATCAAAAGATAAGTGTTAGAATAGGCTACAAGTTCATATTGATTGCTAACTTATTTAAAATAATAAATCAAATGGAGTAGATCAAATTAATGGAAACGTGGTCATAGATTGCTTTGAACAACTTAAAATTGTTCTTTTTAAAATCTTTTGGGCTTCTATCCATCAAGGAGTATTCCCAGAACAATTAAAAGTTGCAAAAGTTATTCCTATTTTTAAAGAAGTAGGCAAATCTGAAATCAGTAAATATCAAATAATTTCATGATAATAATCTACTTTATATCAATCAACTAGGTTTCAAGAAAGATAACTCAACTGAACATGCAATTATCCAATTTGTACGCGAAATCTTAAAATTATTCGAAAAATCACAATATACACTGAGAATTTTTATTGACCTATCAAAAGCTTTTGTTATGGTCAATCACCATATTTTAATTTATAAACTCAAATACAACGGAATAAGAAATAAAATTTTGAAATGGTTTAAAAGTAAAAAAATTTAAAATGGTTTAAAAATCTATATAACCGAAAACAATTTGTACCATTTAACAATGATTATCAACCCACTTTTCCTAATATAACCTGTGAAGTCCCACAAAGTTCAATTCTTGGACCTCTCTTTATTGATTTAAATAAAGTTTCAAAACTAACGGGATTATGATGCAGGTGATACAAACTTACTTCTTTCTAACTATATTTAGAAAGGAGTAAGTTTGTATCAGAAGGCTTGGTTTCCCTGATTTCCAGAGAAAAAGAATTGCCTGAAATTCAGGCGATTACGCCTGAAAATCAATTGTGCCGAAACACAATGATTAATTCAGTGAGTTTTCCCTGAATTTCAGTTGCGGATTCCTGATTTTGTTTAAGAGTGTATGATATCGCTGAACTTTTTAAAACAGTGAACGAAAACTCATACATATACCTAATTGGTTCGACTGTAATAAGTTAACTTTGAATACTAATAAAACCAAATGGGTTTTATTTCATTCGATTACAAAAAAGATTTCTCCCATCAAAATTACCTTAAATCTCTATCGATCAAAAGGAAATAAAAAGAGATTTTGTTACAAATTTTTTAGATGTTTATCTTGATGAAAACATTACTTGGAATCACCAAATTGGTTTTGGTTATATAAGCACAAAAATTTGGAAAAACATGGGGATCCTATATAAATCACAAATCTATCTTAATAAGAAAATCTTAATCCAACTTTATTATTCATTTTATTTATTATTTATGTTATTTATGCCAATATTGCATGGGGAAGTACAGAAAAAAGTAAGTTGCAACGTCTTAATCTCCAGAAACGCGCAATATACTTAGTGAACGCTCTATATAAGCAACTCATTTGAACCAGTTTCAATAAAAAATTTCTTATTGGGAAAAGTTGCTAATAGGGAAAAAAGGAGTATAACAATACTTATCGTCAGGAAAATATTTTTACCAATTTCTTTTACTAATAAAACTGTGTAGAATAAATAAACTCAGTTTTATTTTTAAAAAAAAAATATTTTGATATTATTATCATATAAGCGTAGTTATTAATTTTATTTAAAAAAAATTAAACAATCAAATTTTAATAAGTCTTTGGTTAGGAACAACACTAATTACTAAAACAAACCAAAACGGTTACGTATATTTGTTCATGATAGCTTTTTCTCTTTTTTTTTAGTAACAAAAGAACCTCACACGGCGTTAACTTTAGTTCAAAAATCTCCCGATTGCCAGTTTGCGCGTGTTTTCACACTTACTGTCATAGTAAGTAGAAACCATGTAAAAATAACAGTAAAATTTTAAAAGACCAATTAATATCAAAAAATTTTGCGAGTGGTTTCTATCGGTACAGACATTTTGCGCTAAACATAAGAAAACAAAGCGTATGTTTATGTACCTCATCCTACCATTTTTTAAATTATATCTTGAGGTTATACTTTCACATTGATAACATAATATCAAATTGATATTTGCAGAAAAAATATTACAAAAACTGGACACTCCAATTATAATTGTACTTCTGAAAAAAAATTAATTATTAAAAATCTATGAATCTATATGTAAAATAATTTTTTAAACTTAAAATTTTGTATAACACCAAAATTTAAATCCAAAAATCTCCAAAAATAATTTAAAGAAATTATGAAATACAAGTAATCTGATTAGTAAATAAAATTCTTCAAAGAAAAAAATTCTTTAAAGAAAATACTGCTATAAAAATTAATTTAATTGGTTTGTAGTTCTTTTGATTTCGTTGCAAGAAAGTAAGACGTCAGGTACAGCCTGCCAATACCTAAAAAACAAAAATAAAATTTTACTACTGTCCTATCAATTTATCATACATGTTATATTTTCATCCAATTTGTAAATTCTATTTTATAAATCTACACACACTGTAATTTTTCAACCGGTCAAGGTTGACCGGTTGAAAAATCAGAAAAATCTTTTGTTAAACCCAATTTTAAATTTTTTAGATTTCATAACACCGTAAAACTTTGATAAAGCGTCTAAAACAATTTTATTGCTTATATGCTACTTTAAGTAGAAATAATTAATAAAATTGCTTTTATTCACTTTGTTGGAGCGAAGCGAATTAAAATTCGCATCGCTGCAACGTGAAATTCGTCATCGTTTATTAATACTCGCTAATGCTTCGTTGAGTAATATATATGGCGTAAACTATATATATTAATTTTTTTGCTTCAGTTATTGAGATCAGTTTTATTGAGTGTTATTTTCCTTAACTGATTTAAGTTCTTATTTTATTATTTTAATAATAATATAATATACAATAATTGATGATTTTAGCTAAGCACTAAATTTATTTTTGCTCTCTCTATATCTTTTTATTTATTTTTCTCATAATTTTTTGTTGCAAAATGCATTTAACAAATGACTTTTTTTTTCTTCTTATTTTAAGTTTTATTTATTTATAGTCTATAAAATAATAAATTATTAAGAAAGAGCGGCACACCAGGCCGCTTTGTGATGAAAATGCAGTTTTTATATTTCAATTACGTTTATATTTCTGATGATGGCGAAAAGAAAATTCGTATTTGAAACTTTCGAGGTTGTTTGAATTCCCGCATTTTAGGTCATTCAACACGCTTTGAGTTGTCTGTGTTGTCAAAGCATTCAACACGCTTTGACAACACAGTTGGTGAGGAAGTTTTTTCTTTCTGAGCAGTTTCGAAAAAACTGCGCTTTGAGTTGTTTTATGCGTCCACGTGGTTGAAGACTTTAGTTTAAAGACTCTGTTTGATTAAAGCAGAGTGAATAAGATAAAAAAGATAAAAAGAAAAGAAAAAAACAATAAAAACATTAGTTGATTTGGATTCGTCATCAGACGAAACCTTTAAAAGTTTAAAATCGTCTTCCGAAAAAACTTTAGATTATGAATCAGACAAAATGTATCTTTAAAAAAAAAATTTTTAAGTTACAAAAACTGTCTGAAAAGAAACATGCATTCGTTAATTTTAAATCAAGTCTTTATTTTATTTACATGTCGTAAAATATAATTACTGAAATAAAAATTTTAACAAAGAAAAAAAAGAAATTTGACCGCCCAAAAAAAAAATTTGACCGTCAGTTTTATGTATTAGCCGGTCAATTTGACCGCTCGCCTTTGATTTCTTATTTTCCATGCTGTATATGCATATATATATATATATATATATATATATATATATATATATATATATATATATATATATATATATATATATATATATATATATATATATATATGTATATATATATATATATATATATATATATGTATATATATATATATATATATATATATATATATATATATATATATATATATATATATATATATATATATATATATATATATATATATATATATATATATATATATATATATATATATATGTATATGTATATATATCAACTCGTTTCTCCGCGCAGCGGCCTTGTTCGTCAAGGTTCGTGTTTCGGAGTTATAGAGTTGAGAGAGGGTTATAGCCACAAAATAAGTAGCCTCCTTGTCTGTAGTGGCCTTCTCGGCCTTGAGGAGGTGAAGTAAAATAAAAAAAAAAAAAAAAAAAAAAAAAAAAAAATATATATATATATATATATATATATATATATATATATATATATATATATATATTATTATTTTATAAACATCAGGTCAGGTCAGGTCAGGTTTTCCTGCTACTGGTAACATGTAACCCAGTACAACCTGCTCCATGTCCTGCTGCCTTGTAGGATACGCTTTTTTAGGCAAAGGCTAGGAGAAGTTAACTCCGAATTAAAACACCCCCTGCCTTGGGGCTCTTGGTTGAGTAAAGGCTAGAGATGGTGTCTCGATAAAAATACTCATCTTGGGCAGATGTTACATGCATCCAGCTGCTGTCTTGTAGAAGGCCTCCTAGGCAAAGACTTAAGGGGTAAACAGATTCTATCTGTTGACCAGCCTCGCACCCCTTCCTCATCTATTAGGCTGGCGCAGATGTATTTTTAATACATTGTTTCCAGTTTAGGATGTTGAACGCTGGATCTTCTTGACTCAATGCGTGGGTATTGCTTGTGTCTCTATTTTTATGACTGGGCAACTCATTCTATTATCTCCTTATGAGGGTACAGCTCTAAAACTCAGTTTTATGGTTCTGAGGCCGGCTGGTAGTCAGGTTTCCCGAACTCTGTGGTAGCTCTCAGAGAGGCTGATTCCATCAACAGCTGAAAAATATCAGAGTACTAACAGTGCCATGTTGCGCATGGATGGTGTCCCTGTTTGTACTTTTGGTGTGCATTGCAGAGGCCACATTTGGAGCCCTTTGTTACGGCTTAGGGTTTATTAATAGTAATGAGGCTATTGCTTAGTTGTTAAATAGTGTACTGAGTACTATCTATACTTGAGTCAAGTTCTTTATAAATTTAAAATGACTAAAGTACCTAAAACTAAAAAACACAAAAAACCATCGTCATCACCAAGTTCTCTAAACCTATCATTTACTAATATTCGTGGTCTTCGAAGTAACTTTTCTTCTGTTGAGTCTTATCTCTTGCAAAGTTCACCAGACCTACTTGCTCTTTGTGAGACTAATTTGAGTTCGGCTGTCCCATCTTGTGATCTTAGTGTTGATGGTTATCTTCCTTTAATTTGTAAAGACTCCAATAATCACATGCTTGTTCTGGGCATCTACATTCGTAAGAACTCACCCATTTGTCGTGAAACTAGGTTTGAATCTACAGACTATTCATTTACGTGCTTTCGTTTAGCACAACTTCACTCTATCGCCTTTCTCTTTGTTCTATATCGCTCTCCTTCATCCCAAGATTGCACTATTCTTGATGTTATTTCTGATCAAATTGACCAAGCCCTCTCTCTTTATCCATCGGCCAATATCGTCGTTGTTGGTGACTTTAATGCCCACCACACCGATTGGCTTGGCTCTAGTGTCAGTGACTCTGCTGGCGTTAAGGCCCTCAACTTTTGCCTTTCTCAATCTCTAACTCAAATAGTCAACTTTCCAACTCGTTTTCCAGACAACCCTAATCATTTACCTTCTCTACTCGACTTATGTCTTGTTTTGGATCCTAGTCAATGCTCAATTTCTCCACATTCACCCTTAGGTACTTCTGATCACGGTTTGATCTCTCTAAAACTATTATCAAATTCTTCTACTTTATCAGAATCCCCCTATCATCGTACCACATACAACTACCTTAAAGCTGACTGGGACTCTTTCCGTGATTTTCTTCGTGATGGCCCTTGGGTAGAAATCTTTCGTCTTCCTGCTGACAAATGTGCTTCTTACATAACTTCGTGGATTCAGGCTGGCATGGAATCTTTTATTCCCTCTCGACGATTCCAGGTCAAGCCTCACTCTTCTCCTTGCTTTTCCTCACATTGCGCTGCAGCAATTTCTAATCGAAACCATTACTTCCATATCTATCAGCAAAACAATTCTCCAGAAAACAGACATCTGTTCACTATCGCCAGAAACCATTGTAAAAAGGTTTTGTCTGACGCCAAAGCTCGCTATTCCCAGGTCATTAAATCTCGTATCTCATCACAAAAATTAGGCTCTCGAGACTTCTGGAGAATCTTTAACAGTATCAATAATAAGGGCAAATCTGTTATTCCTTCTCTCTTGTATGGTTCAGACTTTGTCACCTCACCTAAAGACAAAGCTGAATTGTTTGCTAAGAACTTTTCATCAATATCATCTCTTGATTCCACTAGTTGCGTTTTACCTGACATAGCCGTCAAACAGGTTGATCCCTTGCTTGACACTCGCATCACTTCAGCTTCTGTATCTAAAGTAATTTCCTGCTTAGACTCTTCAACAGCTTGTGGTCCTGACAACATTCCTGTTGTAGTCTTGCAGAGGTGTTCTCCTGAGCTTTCATCCATACTCTCTAAACTATTTAACAAGTGCTTATCAGAGTCTTGTTTTCCATCATGCTGGAAAGCAGCATCTGTTATCCCTATTTTCAAAAATTCCGGAGAGCGATCTGATTCATCTAACTACCGTCCCATTAGTCTTCTTCCTGTCATAAGCAAGGTTTTTGAATCTTTAATCAACAAACACTTAATCTCTCATCTTGAATCAAATAACTTACTTTCTGATCATCAATATGGATTTCGGTCTTCTCGTTCTACAGCTGATGTGCTAACAGTAATAACCGATAGGTTTTACCGTGCATTAAATAGAGGTGGAGAGGTTAAGGCTATCGCACTTGACATTTCTAAAGCTTTTGATAAAGTTTGGCATGCTGGTCTTCTCCATAAGCTTTCTTCTTATGGTGTAGCTGGTAACGTCTTTAAGATTATTGAGTCCTTTCTTTCCAATCGTAGTATAAAAGTTGTCCTCGATGGACAACACTCTTCTTCACATCCTGTAACTTCAGGGGTTCCTCAAGGTTCAATCCTTGGCCCTATACTCTTTTTAATTTACATTAACGATCTTCCAGATATTCTCACATCTAAGGTGGCATTATTCGCCGACAACACTACCATTTACTCTTGTCATGATAAGAAGCCTACACTCTCTGATTGCTTGGAGGGGGTATCTGAGCTTGAAAAGGATCTCACTTCTGCTACAGCATGGGGCTCACAGTGGCTGGTGAACTTTAATTCAGATAAAACTCAATTTTATTCGGCCAATCGTTATCCTAATAATTTAGATCTTCCTATATTTATGAATGGTAATGTACTAGATGAGTCATCTACCATTCATCTTCTAGGATTAACTCTTACTTCTGATCTTTCTTTTAAACCGTATATCAAATCCATTGCAAAATTAGCATCTGCTAAGGTTGCATCTCTTTATCGAGCTCGACACTTTCTTACTCCAGATTCTATTCTCTATCTCTATAAATCTCAAATCCGTCCCTGTATGGAATACTGTTGCCACATCTGGGGCGGATCTTCTAATGATGCTCTTTCTCTTTTAGACAAGGTGCAAAAACGAATTGTAAACATAGTTGGACCTGCTCTGGCAGCCAATCTCCAACCTTTGTCACATCGTCGTAATGTTGCTTCTCTTTCTCTTTTCTACAAATACTATAATAGGCACTGCTCTAAAGAGCTAGCGTCCCTTGTGCCATCTACTAAAATTCATTCTCGTGTTACTCGCCATTTAATTAAGTCTCATCCTTTTTCTGTGACTGTTCCTAAGTGCTTCAAAAACTCTTATTCTTCTAGTTTTTTTCCTCGAACATCAGTTCTTTGGAATTCGCTTCCTTCATCTTGCTTTCCTGATTCATATAATTTGCAATCTTTTAAGTCATCAGTCAATCGTTATCTTGCTCTACAGATTTAGTCTTTTCTCTTCCAGTAACTTCCAACTCTTATAGTGGTTGCTTGCAGCCTTGTTGGAAGTGAAGATGTTAAAAAAAAAAAAAAAAAAAAAAAAAAAAAAAAAAAAAAAAAATTTGCATAGCTTTTTGAACAGCCAAGCTTTAGATGTATTGTGGATTAAATAGGTAACCATAACTTATTTGAAAACTTAACTTTGAAAAACAACCTTACAAATTGTTTTGGTTTTTGAACATGCAACATATAAACGGATATTAATGAATATAAATGAGAGAAACACAGTTTTTCAAGATATACACCAACATTTGTATAAAAAATCAATAATATAAAACATTTATATCTGTAAAAATAGAAAACTTGTGAACACTTTAGTTCATTACTTATTTAATGTAACAAATAGCTGTTTGAATATACTAATTATAATTCCTAAATTACTTTTTTGTATCTGTTTACACATTTTATTCACAGTAGTACCAGTCTTTGCATTACTAGAGGTCTTTCAATAATTTCAATAACACCGTTGTAATCAATAATAAACTTGTTTATCAACTTAATAATAACTTAATAATAAGCTAATAATATGTAACCAAGTAAAATATTTATCCTTCATAAAAATATTTAATGAAGTTACTATACAAGTATACAAAAAAAAAATGCAGAATAAAATCCAGACAAATTTAAAATTTAATAAACATAACTTTGAAATTCACAAATATGGAGTAAAACAGAAAACAAAAATATAAAAGTAAAAATAATAACTAATATAAACGATAAAAAGATAAAACTTGGAACTTCAAAAACTTTCAAGCATTTTTTTTTTCATCTCAAAGCCTGCTTACCTCAGCCAAATAAAATAAAAAGTAATATTCAGTGTGTTTAAATATTCTAATAACACAATAATGTAAAATAAACATAAACTTACTTCATAAAATGTTCTGAATGCATTTCTCGATTAAAGATGGACAACACTGATGTGTAGCCTGTCACATGTTGCAAGTTAAGATATTTGTAAACATTTTTTTATACTGTTTTATATATATATATATATATATATATATATATATATATATATATATATATATATATATATATATATATATATATATATATATATATATATATATATATATATATATATATATACCTAATAATAAATATTATTTTTATAAAATATATTTTTTCAAATATAAAATTAAAAACTTTTTCTTTTAATGTTAAGCGAGAAATAAATAAAAATTCTATAACATTTACATTTAACATTCAAGATAAAGTCTTAAAAAATAGTTTGTTTGTTTTTTAATCAAATAATAAAAAAATATTTTTTAAAAATGGCTGCCAGTTTACTGAAAATTAGTTAAAAAGTCACAAAGAAACATCAGAGATAAACTCATACTTATCTTTTACTTCATTTATAAAAAAATTCCACAAATGGTCCTTAGTGTGTTAGGTCCATATTTAGTTAGAGATTTAAAAGTTAATTCATTATTTTAGTTAATTCATTATTTTTGATTTTCAAAAAGTCTTTCAAAAAGACTTTTTGAAAATCAAAAATGTCAATTTTTATAAGAAAAAATAAGATATCTCAAGATATATTCATTAACTTTTAAAATCTCTAGCTAAAAAGAAAGATATTAATGTAATTATCAATTTCAAATGTAAAACTGTGTGTATAGAAGAGTTAACATAGTGGTTTATCGAGCATCTTTTTGTAGACTTATTTATTATGATTAAAATAATACGAAGATTGTGTAAAAATACAAATATTCTTTTATGAACAAAAAATATAACTCCTATTTCAACATATTAACACATAAAAACATTCAACTTCAGACCAATTAAGCCATGATCCTTGGTTACTTAACTGCATATTTTAGTTTAGACTGAACCAAACGTAAAAATATTCCAATCTACACGACATTTGGTTTTAATAGTCATGCGAACAATTCTATCACCAAATTAAAAGAATTTATAACATCAATGATGTTTTTATTGGGGCAATCCGACGTTTTTTCATTTTCTTCAACAGGAGTAGTTTTACTTTCAACTTCAGGATTTTCTTCAAGGTTAAATGGATGATTTGCCTCGCTTGTTTCACTTTCCCACTCCATAATTTCAGTATCTGCTAAATTACAACCATTAAATATCGAATTACACAATCTTGCCAAGGGAATATCATTTTCTTATGAAAGGTGATCAGAAGGAATGTTGTAATGAATTTCATCACTTGACGAAAAAAGATGTTTAAATGAGTTTTGTATAACTGAGGGAATTTCATTACATGTCTGTACCACTAAATAAACAACATCTTTCAAATTTATATTTTTCAGTGCTAAAACTATTTCAATTTCTGCACCAAAGACTGCAAGGGATACAAGTAGATGTTTGCGATAGGGTTGTTTTAGTAATTTTATCACATTTTGATCTAATGGTTGCAATATTGGTGCGTTATTAAGAGGAAAAATATAACTTTAAAATTCAGGTTACCAGTATAATTATTCACAGATCCATGGCAAGTTGTACGACGTACTAAGTGAAGGGCTTTTACGAGAAGCACTTTTACAGGTTTTTAGATTCCAATTTCGAGTTACAGAAGGTATGAATATATCATTATACAAGTTGCTAAAAAGTGTATAAGTTTGCAAAGCATTTTAGGATGATTTGTAATATACTGGCAAATCCATCTTTTCAAAGCAACGAGCAGATTTCGATTTCCCTATTATCATCAAATATTATTTATGCATACTTGTAGCGTTTACGCATTGCGTAATTGTTACTCTTTCTTTCATAGTATTTTTTCCGGCAGCGGATTTTTCAAAATTTGTGTTGTTAGTTTTATTGGGAAAGGTTTTATAGACGAGACCAGTTTCGTTGCAATTATGTATTTGTTCACCATTTTCAGCAATACAATTTTTAAAATTATTTTTAAATGAATTAGCTAGCTCCACATTGCAAGCCATACTCTCTCCACAAACAGACAAAATCCGTATACCGTGGCGTTTTTTGAATTCCGTTAACCATCCATCACTTGCTACAAATGTTCCAGGCCCATAATTTAATCTATTTACTTCGAGTGCTTTTAATTTTATCATTTCATTTGAAACTAAATTATTTAATTGTCGCCGCTCCAAGAACCTATAAAACACTGCACCGTCAATTTCACTCTATTTTATTGTCTTCATTCACTTTATCATACTCTGATTCACATACGTTTTGGTTGGATATTCTTCTAAATTTTCTTTATTTTCTTTTACTCTACTTATTGTTGATTTAGCAACTTTATCTTCTTTACACATGTCCTTTGTTTTCTTACCATTTGCAATGTCCTTTAAAATGAATAGTTTATCTTTTAACGAAATTGAACGTCTTTTTGTTTTCTGATTAATTGTTTATATTTAAACTTTAAGCACAAAAATGTTAACTATATAATTTATTAATTAAAAGAAACTAAAAGAATTCAAGAAACTGTTCTATTTAACAGGAATTCACTTCAGTACTCTCAGCACAAAACACAAACATTCTCCAGTAACAGAGTTTTTTACAATTTGAGGTTAATTTTTTGCAATTTTGAGGTTGAGCTGATTAATTTATTAATTAACAAAAACTAACAGAATATAAGTAACTATTCTATTTAACAGAAATTCACTTCAATACTGGCAGCACAAAACACAAACATATTCCAATAACAGAATTTTTTACAATTTGAGGTTATGTTGCTGTGATTTTTCTTCTGAATTAGCCTAAACTCAACTCAAATATTTAGCTTTAAAAAAATAAGTTGCTTCTACAGAACAGTTGAACTAAAGTTGCTTGTATAGAGGTTGCTTATAAAGAATTTTACTTACAGAGAGGTTGCTTATATAGAGTGTTCACTGTATATCAACAGTTATCTAAATTTGTATCGTTTGCTAAATATTGTTACCAAAATCCTTTTCATCCGCCCTCCGTTAAACCTTCAAAAAAGAAAAATTAGGTACCAAAAGTGCTAGTAAAAATTGGGTATATGCTGCTAATAATAAAACAATGAAGTTTGGCAGGTGTATAAAAAGTGATTAAACTTAAAAATAGGAATCGGTAAGAAAATTTACTGAGCAAATTTTGGATGTAAATAAATTCACTTATAAGGTTTGCCATTGTTATCAAAAGAGAGATAAAAATAAAGTTTAACTACTCTAGATTTTAAAAAGTATCTATGTTAATGTAAAATTTTAAAAGTAAGGCTACAAAGCACCATCCTACCATGCTGCCTAAACGCAAAAGCCAAAAAACGGAGAACAGTGTTTTGGTATAAAACTCGGCACCGTAAAACGTGGATTTCGACGTATCTATATATATATATACATCACAACAACAATATTACAAAACTATGCTAGCAGTTTGTAATTTAATAAGACAAGCATACGTTTTTATTTTATAATTTTTATAACAAATGCTGTCTTAGTAAAGTACTAACTGCTAGCATAGTTTTGTAATATTGCTATTGTGATGCGTTTTATGTAAAAATATTATTTTTTAATTTAGATTTTGCATGATATCAATTATAATATAAAAAACACTTTTTCTAGAAAAAATACAACTGATGGATGTTGCCTAAAGCTTTATGCTTTGCAACAACTGTCAGCTATGTATATTTCTTATTAATCAGCCTTATTTTATTTAGATTAAACAGTTGATGGTTGGTACCAAAATTTAGAAGTTTTAAGCACCGTCTAAGAGTTGTGTTCTTTATTGATTCAGTTATTCGTAATGTATTACCTGCGAGTTATCCTTATTTATTGAAAAAAAAAAAATTCTAAACGGTTGTAAAGTTTGTTTGTAAATGTTTTGTCTGTATTATTTGAATTTATTTTAGATCAAATCTTGTTTTATACAAAACTACCACTATAGTTTAGTATTTTGTATAAAAGTATAGTTTAGTATAAAAGTTTTTGTTAACTGGTGTTTTATGGATTCTTACTTCAATAGAATTGTATGTTAATGCAACACTTTATTCCAACATCCAAAATTTAATCGTATAATTAGCAGTGGTTAATAAATATTTTTAATAAGATTTTGAAAATCGCATTTTCTAAATCTGAAAGGAAAGTTTTTGATTTATCATGGAAAAAGGTCTCCTGCTTTAAAAAAACCCTGGGCCCCCAAAATTCTTGATCCACTACTGCACATTGCCATAATGTATTGTATTTTATATGCAATCCAGGAATAAAAATGTGCAGGGAAAAGCAGTTTTCTAATAAATGGTATATTTTTCTGTCATATGCCTTTAATCGTTCTGCATAAGAAATTGCACACATGAATAGGAAGAAACTTTGGTGTGGTTCATGTGCTGTTAACAAATACCTTACAGACAGATACTCTTTCAACCTTTATTCTGTGTAGGTAGAGCATCAGCATATTTTCTGAATTTAGTTTATACTCAATAAATTTGACTGTACTATTTGTGGTCAGATTTCAAAAATGAGATTAGGTATAATTTAAATTCGATTTAAATTTGTGGATATTTTTATAGAAAAAATAATGACCCAAATTTAGTAAGGATTTTTAACACACATAATTTAAAAAAATTTGACTCAGTCATAAACTCTAGTGTATAAAGTAAACAGGCAGGGAGGTCATAAAAATTAAGTGAAGTGAGAACTTTTTGAAAGTAAGAATTCGGGTAGATGAGAAAAAGTTCATAACTGATGAATTGATAAGGGGCGTTTCTTTGGCACCTGATAGAAATTGTGCATGAACGGGGATGGGGTTGTAAGACTGGTTGGGGGGGGGGGAGGAGGATGAAAAATTTACACTAAAAAATTTCGCCAAAGGAGAAATAAATCCTAGATCAGCCCCTGTAGTGGGATTAAATCGATTTTAAGTTCTTAGCTAATCTAACATCACCCCCTAAAGATAAAAAAGCATTAAAAGATGTCTTGATAGATTTAAATTTACGCAATGTTCCACATTCAGCTAGATTATTTGAACTAGCCGTGCACCACCTAATTAAACGTGTTTATGAGTGTGGCTAAAGACCACACAGTATGTTAGCAACTT